CCTTGATTAACTCCTTCCTCTGTATATCAGAGTTAGAAAATTTCCAAAAAGCAAGTTGAGCACATTTGTATTTGCCAGGAAAGTGGGCAATTTCCATTTTTGTGAACTAGGTCCAAATGAACAGAGTATAGAATTGTTATTTAATAGAACTCAAATGAACTGAATCGAGTAGGACTGCTGTAAGCTTGGTGTGATGCTCTCTGGATTTGTTACTCCTGGGAAGAAAGGAGAGGATGCAGGAGACAAATGAGAAAATCCAGGCCACTGATCTCCACTTGTCTTTCCCCTGTTGGTTACCTAGAGGATGAGACTGGCCTAGTATGGACTAATCAGAGGCAGTCCAGGATTGGATATATGGGATTGAGAGCAAAGATGAGGATAGAAGAGACAACAATTTCCATCAGAAGTCAGATGTTCTATTGCTTTCTTAATAATGGAATACCTTACCCAAGAGACCACTCATTAAAATATTCTCAATTTCTTTCAAAATTAACTCAAACCCTTGTTTATTTGTCCTAATGAATGCTAGGTAGAATATTTTCTTTTCCCCTCAACGGTTGAGAACCCTAACAAAAGCCACTTTTACAAATGGTAGAATGATCTATTTATCCACTCTTACTAATTGGAAAATGTTGTGATAAATAATGGCTAAAAATCACTGGACTAAATATTTTCTAAGGTTTTTTTTTCTCCTTTAAAAGTGACTATTTGTGGCTGGGTCCAGTGGCGCATGCCTGTAATCCCAGAGGCTCAGGTGGCCGAGGCAGAAGGATCACAAGTTCAAAGCCAGTCTCAGCAATGGTGAGTCACTAAGCAACTCAGTGAGACCCTGTCTCTAAATAAAACATGAAATAGGGCTGGGGATGTGGCTCAGTGGTGGAGCACCCCTGAATTCAATCCTCAGTACCAAAAAACAAAACAAAACAAAACAAAAAAAAACAAAGTGACTGTTTGTAAAGAAAGCCCAAATGCCTACATTCTCTGCCTAGTTACTGCTCTCATTTTCCCAGAGGTAATGAGGTGATTCATATTACATACACTACTTCCTGTCCATCAAGGCTACTCTATGTAGAAGCAGGTGACTATACATTATGATTTAAAAAGAAGACAGCCTTCTCTGAACACTTTCTTATTTTGACAAAATTCCAGCATTTATTTGAATTAATAGGCAAAAAATGCTGGGGAAAAATTAAGTGTAAGAGAGTGATTATGTACACTGTAGTAAATAAAGGAATAAGAAGGAGGAAGAAAATGAAAGGTAACTTTGAAGAAGATGCACCAGTGGTAAAATTTGGAAAAATCAGAGAGCAACATGAGGAACCAGTCTTCTAGGGGAAGAAAGGAATGTCAATGATGTACGGACACCCAAGGAAACTTGATTTCTCCCATTTTACTTGATATATACTTTATTCCCTTCTCTCTATATAAGCTCCAGATGCAATTCAGATTTTAGATCTTCAACATAATCATTCCTATAGCAATAAGATAAAAAACAGAAAATAATGAGCAGAGGCATAATATTTTAGATTAATTAAACATTGAAATCTACTTGCTATAGGGAAGAGTCACATATTATAAGCACAACATACACAACATATAACCAGATTTGTAACAAAGAAAAATCAAGATTTCATTTGTTCCCTAAAAATCCAAATGCCTTCAGAAAGGGAGCTATAGAACTTGAGTTTTACACTAAACAGCTTGGATGATGAACCTAGCATATGTCAAAGAATGAATACTACTGTTTAAAACATCTCTCTACCATGACTTTGAGAATGAAATAAATGGATAACTCTGGGAAAGGTGATCATAATTATGAACAAGAAACAAGAGATTTGTGCAATAAAATATACATTAAGAATAGGAATTTTTAAAAAATGGAAGCTTATTGTAGGCTTTCCCTCTGACAGATAAAAATCATTTTTCTGTGGCAATGGGATTCAACAATTCCAAAGGAAAGTATTATAATTCATATTGGTGGTGAATAAAAGGCTGAGTTAAATGAAATTAAATTAATGGACAAGGAAGCTGAAGGGAATAGAGGAAGAGAAGGGAAGCAGCCCATTAAGAATAAGTAAATAATACCAATATTACTGTGGATATTACAGTTTATTTTTAACTCTTTAAACCAGTTAAGGGGATTAATTGCCATTATTATTCCTATCTGTCAAATGAGCAACCTTAAGCAAAGAAATTACTGCTTACATTCTCCAAACTATATACCTAGAAAGTGGAATAGGCAGGACTTGAGCTATGTGTTTCATCAAAACAATGAGAGGATGGAGTTTTAATATTACCTCTTTTAAGAGATGGAGTATAGATCAAAGATTCCACAGGTTTTGTGAACACAGCTCATTTCTACTTTGTCCTAGGAGTTCCTTCGCACTAGCATAAACTTTAGTTGTATATTTAAACTGAGCTTGTATTATTTAAAAGTGGGTAAAGAATAAAGGAGTATACTCCCTAAGGGAAAGTAACAGTGGGAAACGGCTGTGATTCGGGCACTCATTCATTTCATCTGAGGGTCTGGGTGGCAGTGGTAAAGTGTGTCTGAGAACAGAAACCAGCCAGGTACCTGGCAGAGGGATTTCTGAAGATCTTCTTGGAAAGAGCTCATTTATTTGCCAAAATACATATTGCTCTTATGTTTTGCATTCAGAGTTTTTTTTTTTTAAATGCGTGGCAAGAGGATGGAGGCAAGAGTTTCTTAGAAAAATGAAAACGGTTTTCTAATGGAGGGACCTAAGTAATTTACTCAAACTTCCTTTTCATTCTTTCTGAGTAATATCTGTATGGAAATACCCTACTGAGTATTTTAAGAGCAGTTTATAACACGCTGTACCATTGTATATCAAGAGAGTAACCTTTTTGATTACACTATAGAATTAGCCAGAACAATTCTTTTTCTGAGGAACAAGTGTCCACTTAGAATGGAAACGTGTAAGCTCTGGCATCAGTATTTCAAACTTACCAAAAATCAATTTTTTTTGTTCAATAATTTGAAAAAATCCAGATCAACAAGTTCCTTTAATGGAAAATCATGCTAAATACTTTCTAACAATAATATTCTACGTAGGAAAATATAAGAAATTATACATTTAAAGAATATCTTCTGGTTTTATGCATAATTTTGCATTTGAATTAATTGTATTTCCTCATTTCTGCGTAGAACCAATGTTCAACAAGATAACAAAATGCTATATAACAGAATTACTGTGCATTTAATGTGGAATAGAGAAAATGTATAAAACATACAGTACTGTAAAGAGAATGAATGTATCATACACAGTTAATAGGAACTTCCAAATTATTAAATCTATAAAATTAATTTAGGAGAGAAAATGATAATGCAGTCAATTTATAAAGCATTTAGTACAGATGCTAAGTAAAATTATGCTCCCATTAGAAAAGAAATTCTGTCAGCTTTAAAAATAGATTGATACCATCTTATTGTGTTATAATAATATCTATTGGAGAATTTAACTTACAAAAAATGGCAATTTTTTCTGATTATACCATCATAGGTTTATTTTAACCAACATAGAAATAAATAGTAAAGTGCTGAAAACAAAAGGGGAAAGTAAAATAGAAATCATGAAAAATAAAAATAAGCAATTATTTACACATACAGTGACAATAATTAAATAATTCTAGTCTTTAGAATTGTAAAAAATGGAAATAGAGATTTTCCAAAGGTCAAAGCATTTTTGAAGTATATTTTTTACTTTATGTTTAATAATGATTATCCATTATATATAAGAAGGAAGCACATTTTGGCTCACAGATATATTTACAAACGTAGTATTTCTAAAACTGACTGCATTACTAAACAAACTCTTCATATAAATTCACTGATCTCTTTTACTGAAGGATGCATTGGTTTGAAAATCAAAGACTTACGTCATCCAAAAAATCAATCAGTGAGGATGAGGAAGAAGAAAAGGAATCCTATTTAACGAATACAGCAATAAAAAAATAGAAAATATGGATGAAGCAATTTAATAGGAACAAATAATAAATCAAAAATTTTGTAAAACAATTGAAAGGCAAATGACATTAATTCAAATAAATAAATGAGAAAAGCAGTCACTGTCATTGTTTTCAAGAAACTTTCATGATTCATTAATTACTTTTTAGAGTGTTTCTTTTTCCAAAGGAATGAAATATAATTCATACACCATGCCCAAAGTATAATAAAATGAAGCTCATGGCAAATCATTAATAATAAAATTAAATATAAGCACTTATGAAAATAACAACTAAAAGTAAGTAACAGAATCTCTGCTTCTAGTTCTTCCCACCAGAATGTTACTTCTTTGTCAGGGGGACTTGTCACTTTGGGTCACTACTGTATCTCCAGCACTTAGAACAGCTCCTTGCATATAGACACATGATTCTGGTTTGCTGAATAAAAATATTACCAACTTGAATTTTTTGAGACAAAAATATACTTTATAGCATGACACTGATTTTTTTCAGCCAAAAATTTAAATAAGATAAGGAATGACAAGTATTATATAATCACCATTTCATTATTGTGGAATCTGCCTAACAGTGGATGTAATACTTTTAACATGAAGCATTTCTTTATATACTTTTTTAAAAATGAACAGATTTGTAACAAGAAACACCAATACACTATTGTGAGCTTCAAATTTTTCACTTATTTTTTTTTTTACTGTGGCTCTGTACTTTGGAATAAAAAAATGTCAAAATTATTTTAAAAGTTGGGATTTGCTTCTTAGGGAAGTTCAAATGCTTTTAAAACTAACAATGACTTTCATATTTACACCTTTCTTGGATGTTCTGTTAAATACAAGTGTGATTATACTTTCCATAAGAATCCAGAACATATTACTTCCCTATTATGTTGCTGTTTTATAGGATTCTAGATCCTTTTATGTGAGATGCAATAAAACAGTTTTATTGCAAATAAATTTTAAATCACAAAGTGAATTTTAAATTGACTACAAAGGATACTTAAAAAGTTCAGCACTTACTTCAAATTGATCCAGAGCATCGGTAGGCGTATTCAAAAATGCCAAGAAAGAATGCTGTGAGTCTTGGTGCTCTATACCTAGAAAACAGCAGCAACTTTTTTTAAAACTAGAACAATCAATACTAATTTTTATGGATAACCTTTCCTGTCTCAATCTATGAAATCTATTCTCAAATATCATATTTCAAAGCTGATCAATATTATTAATGCTACGTATTTGAAAAGCCAAATTACATTATTTTTTCCTAGACTACCACTCAACAATTAAATAACATCTACTTCTATCAAATATTTGTTCTTGAGTTACTTGTTATGGGATTTCTTTCTTTTTCTATCTGGTACATAATTAAAAAACCCAAATTAAATCTTTTGATAGTCTAGAGAGAATGTAGGTGCTTGTTTATGTGTGATTTTTTTTTTTTAAATTGGTTGTTCACAACATTACAAAGGGAAAGGTAGCAGAATACAACAATTACTAATTGGGCATTATGTAAAATTGTGGATGTGTAACCGATGTGATTCTGCAATCTGCATTTGGGGTAAAATTGGGAGTTCATAACCCACTTCAATCTAATGTATGAAATATGTTATGTGTGATTTTTATCACCAAATGAGGTTTCTGTTTGAAATACGTGTACCAAGCATACAGCACAAGTATAAGTAATCTTTAATAAGACAATAATGCAGTCATAAAACAAATGTATTTAATTATGAAAAAAAGTTAATCAATCTGACTGCAGGTATTATTCAACTAAAAGAATGATTAATCCAAACTCCAGTTTTTCTCAGATGAATTAAAAAATTCATACATATCTTGTGGCTATGATATTAACTTTAAACACATAATTTTCAAAATAATATTTTTTATTCTTCTTTTTTCTCTGGGTGCTGGGGATCCATGGCCTTGAGCATGCCAGGCAAACACTACTACTAAAGGCACATCCCCAGCCCTCTAAAATACTTCTTAAAACATAAAAATGATGATAAATACTAGGAAGGATAAAACAAGAAAACAAGCAATCACACAATTTTGACTTCTATATCTTTAAGAAATGACATTTTATGTGTTTTCCCRTATTATTTTCTAATTATATACCATAATTACCAGATGGGTCAATATGTTCAGAAATTTATTCAGTCAATAAATATTTGTTGAGACTATTACGTACCACTGCCCTAGATTCTGGGGATATAGGTGTAAACAAGGCATTTTTTAAAAAAGTCTTTGTCTTCATTTCATAAATGTCACCTTATAATATTTAAGCAGCTATAATACATTATAACAGTGAAACTTTATTTTTGCAGTAATCAAAATACAAACAATAAAGCTTTAGTTAACACCTCTTCAAAACAATGTGATAAATTTAAGACTTTTCTTTTTCAAGTTTAGGACTAATTTTAAAATGATATAGTCAATGTCATCTGATGTAAATGATACTCTGCACTGGTTTTTTTCCCTATTAAGTTGGCTTTAGGGCCACAAGTGAACCAGGTCTTATGTATTCATTTTTATCTCTTCACTAAAAAATGTTTCTTCTTTTTACTCTTCATTAATTTTTTAAATTGGTTTTAATTTTTAAATACATGACAGAGGAATGTCTACTCTTCATTAATTAAAACCCATTTTAGCATGATAGCTCATGTACCTAATTTGAGTTCCCATTCAGTTTTTGGAGGCTCCTTCTTTCTCTTTTTCAGTAAGGAATTCCACCAACAAAAAATTATTGAACATCAACTTCTTTAAATAGCTTTGTCATGTGAGCTCCTCTATGTGACTGCTCTCTGTATTCCACAACTTTAGATTGGATTCAAAGACCCAACCAGCTTTATCTCTAAGTATGTAATGGCACTGGGGAATGACAGAGAAAGAAGCCCATGGGCTTAATATAAACCCCATTAATTAGTGAAGTATTCAGTGATAGCCTTTATTAGGAAAATGAATTTTTGAAAATTGAATGTAAAATATCCCATTATTTAGAAAAATAACATTATGAATTTATTTTTACTAAACCTTCACATTCTTAATATGTATATTATGGAAAGAAAGTTTAAGAAATGCATGTAATAAAGCTAACAAGCACATCAGCTTCCACAGTAACAGAAAAAATACAAAAGTAATGTTTTCAAGAAAATGGTAATAAATTTGGGAAATCCCATAGGGCCAGCAACATTAAGCATCAAACTAGAAGGCGGCACTGAAATGTCAAAAAATAATTCTTCATTATTATATTGCCCAATTAATAAAAATTAGATTGCTCATTAGTTCTTTCATACATTGTATTCTCAACTCTCCTGAAAGTGAATCCCTCTCAAGATTTTGGACCTTCTAGGCACAAATAAATACTTGTTGAAGTCTCCTTACCATGTTCTGAACACACACTGCCACTATTGGACTGATTAATTTAGATGGTAACATTTCAGAGTATTACACAGTATAATTTTTCAGTGACAAAAATGTTAAATAGATAACCTTTCTGAACTGGTAAATTTATGGGAAAGTGACTTCTTCTGTTACTATAACCTCTTAAAACAATGTCTAATAAATAAAACAAAATTACTCAAAACCAGTCTACCAAATGTGTGTGTGTGTGTGCATCATATACACATGCACATGTTCCTGAGTGCACATGTGAACAATTTTCCCACCTACACAATAAGCTGACTCTTTTGTAATACGATATATTCATGACAAAACAGTAAGTCCTGATTGATGCAAACACACATTCCCATACCCTTTTCAGATCTAAGCTCTTCAGTGTCCTTTATCAGTTGTTCGATTTCTGATAGGAGTTCCAAGTTCTTCTTCTCTGAATCTTTTAGTTTACTTAAATAAGAAAAACAAAGAAAACATGTCATTAATTTTTTATTGCTGACTAGGGAGGCATCTTGTATGTAGCTCACTAAATTAGTTTAAATGTCAGTCATGCTAAATCATGGTACTGCAAACCACTCTAGGCAGGATGAATACAGCCTGTCACCTGCTATTATATAAATTAAGTTTTATTAGAACACAATCAGAATCATTCATTTCAGTACTGACTATAGTTGTCCTTACACTATAATAGCACAGTTGAGTAGCTCTGAGGGAGGCTATATAGTCCTTGAAAYCTAAAATATTTACTACCTGGTCCTTTATAGAAAAAGTTTCCTGGCCCTGAGCTACATTACTAACTTTAAAAATGTTATAAAATCAGTTGATTTTAGAGTTGTTATATTTTATTCATAAACACCCATAAAAGTAGAACATATTTGTAAGTTTATAATTATCAATTTGGTTTATATACCTGTTTTATGGATATTTTAAGTGTAAGCTCTGTGTCCTGGGCACAGRAAAATTATATTTATTCCAAATTACAACAGAGAATGACATTCAGTAGGTCTTTATACTGTGTTTCATTCATATTCTCCAGAAAAACTTCTGTTCTTTTTAACGCCACATAAACACATGTAAGTAAAACATAATTCATGTGTGTCATTTATAACAAACAGTTCATAATTCAACAGGGGTGCCATATATCTGGCCTTTGATTTGATTCAAAATATTAATGGGTGCAGTTTAAAGTCTAAGGCTGTGATCACACCATCAAAAGTGAATTTATAGCCCTGTATTTTTTCTCTTGCTTTTGGAACTTTTAGTATTCTGAGCACCAAAAGGATCTTTGTGTTTATAGTTTCATTTGAAATGTGAACTTTGTTTTCTTCCTCTGTATCACCTATACTGACTTTTTAAAAAATACTAATCCCTGAGCCACATCCCTAATCTGTTTTTTTTTTTTTTTTTTTTTAAATTTCAGACAGAGTGTCACTAAGTTGCTTATTGACATGCTAAATTGTTGAGATTGGCTTTGAACTTGTGATCCTCCTGCCTCAGCTACTGAAGCTGCTGGTACTACAGGCATGTGCCACCATGTCCAGCTTACACTTTTTTTTTTAATTAAAAAGAAAATTTTAAAAATGTTGATGGATCTTTATTTTATGCATTTATTTATATGCAGTGCTGAGAATTGAAACCGGTGCCACACACGTTAGGCAAGTGCTCTACCACTGAGCCACAACCACAGTCCAAGCTTATAATTTTTTTGTTGTATTTTTTGTAATACTGAGAATCAAACCCAGGGCTTCGTGCATGCTAGGTGAGTGCTGTACCACTAAACCACATTCTCAGCCCCTAACTGATTTTGAAATCATATTTATATCCAATCCAATTATAATTTTTCATTTTATCATTTATATATTCAGAGTATGATTTTCTCTACTGTTGTGACAATAGAGGGAATGTGTTCATTAGCTAACAGCCTCTAAGACTAGGAGATTCTATTTTTTAGGAAATACAGAAACATGAAAAATAAGTATAATCAAAAGATATTCTGCCCTTATGAAATTTACCGTCAATAGAATCTTTACATGTAAAAGACCAAGGGTAGAGATCACAATTTTCAAATAATTCTATTTTGTTCTGACCATATGTTGCAATTTCACACAAATATATTTTTTTCTTTGTGGTATTAGGGATTAATCCAAGATCCTTGAACATGACAGACAAGTGCTCTACCACTAAGCTATACCGCCAGTCTTTTTAAAAATTTTACTTTGAGACAGGGTCTCACTCAGTTGCCCAGGCCAGCCTTGAACTTGATCCTCTTGCTTCAGTCTCCCAAGTATCTGGGATTACAAATTTGTGCCACTACAACTGGAAAATATGATATTCCTTCTCCTCCCACTCCCCAATACTGGAACTGAACCTAGGAGTGCTCTACCACTGAGCTTTATTTCCAGCCCTTTTTATTATTTTTTAAACTTTAGACAGTGTCTTACTAAGTTGCTGAGATGGGCCTCGAGCTTATGATCTTCCTGCCTCAACTGCTCAAGTCACTGGGATAATAGGTTTGAGTTGGTGTGTCCAGAACAAATATGATATTCTTGAACATGAGAAAAATTTAGATTAATAAACTATGAGAGTTAACTAAACTTTACAAATAAGGGGAAAATAAACAATGAAATATTATTAATTCTACTTTATGGACAAGCGAGAGGAAAATGAGGCTGTATAGAAATCTTACTGGGGCTGGGGCTGGGGCTGGGGCTTAGCGGTAGCACACTTGTCTGGCATGAGTAAGGCACTGGATTCGATTCTCAGAACCACATATAAATAAATAAAATGAAAGCCTATCAACAACTAAAAAATACATTTAAAAAAACCCTTATCACTACTTACAGAGCTTGAAAGCATCTGATCCTTTTTCAAATCTTTTTTTTAAGCACTAGGCAGATAAGCAAACATGTAATATTTCTCTAAACAATTGTTAAAAACCTAAGAAATGATTCTACTTGGACTAGATTTTTTCAATCTTACCATTCTGTTATGATGTTAGCTGCTTTAACTTTATTCAGCTCTTCTTGGATGGCCTGTTTGGCTCTTATTTCTGCATCCAGAGCTGACTGCAATTCCAGTCTAGCTGACATATCCAGTTTTGCAAAACGACGCATTTTCCAGGGCATATCCTATAAAGTAAAAAGAGTGTGTTTTTAGCTCCCTATTTTAAACATTTAAACTTAATAATCCAGGTGAATTCGAAAGCTACTTATAAGCACCAACCATTTTCACTTAGAATAGAAATATTATTTACAAAAATGTTTTTCATTAAACTCAGAAATAACGGTCAATATTCACATACAAATGAATATTTCCTAACAGTTATTTTCAATAATGACTATTCATATGGACTATTGTTAAGCATTTATGTGTTGTTTTCCTAAACTGGTAAAGACTTAAACTAACTGATTTCTCTTGAAAACTTACAGCAGGCTAATGCCTAGGAGAATTGACATAAATAATCAGATTTATGATAGTGTTTTTTGAGCCTTGTAATCTAATATGATAAGCTTCTATGCAAAATGGAAGAGCTTACAGTTGCTCGTGTACCCAAGCTGGCACTTCTTAATGCTTCCAATTCTTCAGTCATTTTAGAAGCTAAGGCCTGAAGATAGCCTCGGGCATCCTTTTCATCACTGACCCTAAAATACACACACATGAAGACAGAAATAAAGCACAAAAGTAAAACAGAAAAACTTCAGTGACAGATACGCTATTTTAAAGTTTCATAAAGAAGCAATAGAAGACTTCCAAAATGGCGGAGTAGAGGAGAACTTGTTACTGGTGTGACTCCGAGTGAATGGTCAGACACTCTCCCTCATAGGGGCGCCCTTTCACGAATTTAAGCTTCATGGAGCCTGTGACAGGATTTTAAACAGTGGTTGGTTTCAAGCGCAGCCCAGAATGCGAGAAAATCTGAGTCCCTCCAGGCAAGGAAACCGGCCAGCAGCGCAGCAGCCCAGGAACCCGCAGCAGACGGGTGGAGTTGAGCCCTGCGGAGTTCTGGCAGCATAGGGACACAGATTTACAGATCCTTTGGAGCTAGAGCGTGCCAGACTGCGACCCGCGACTCCGCAGGGCACCGGAGGAGGACTGAAGTCTGGACTTATTGGAGAAATAGCCCAGCTCCCTCCTCCTCACTGGACACCCGGACACCGAAATGGGCAGTCACCATCTTGGAAAATCCACCTCCTCAGCTTTGGGTGGTTGTTACAGGCAACGAGTTTTTTGGCATCAGAACAGGTGTGTGATTTCCAGCACCCCAGCAGTGATAACTCAAAACCTTTCTCGCCAGCTCTTGGTGGCCATGTATCAGAGCTGAGTGAAACTGAAAAGGTGCCTGATCTCCAACTCCCCCTCCCACAGCTGTGATAACCCAAAACATTTCTCGCCAGCTCTGGGTGAGCATGGCTATCAGAGGGAATAAGACAAAACAGGTTGCCGGTTTCCAACTTCCCCTCTCCACAGCTGTGATGACTTGGTGACTACCCAACACAGAGGTAGTTCTCAGCAGAGCACCGCAAGCCCAGAGTGAACCCAGGACTATGGAGAAGAGTTCCAGTCACTGGGACCTAGAGGGCAGGAGAAGTGAGGGGGATAGACCTGGAACAACCCAATGAGACCGGGACTGGAGAGGCACCCGGCAGGGGAGGGAGAGCCACCTCACAAGGATCGCTTCCTCCACCTGAGGGCAGAGACTCAACCTGGAATGCACAATGAAACCTACTGGAAGAGAAGAAAACAGAATTCTAAGAGTGCATTTTTTTTCCTGTTTCCTTCTTTCCTTTTATCTTTTTCTTCTAACTTTTCCTCTTTTTTCATTTCTTTTTCTTATCTCTTCCCCCCTTTTTCTTCTTCTTTTCTTTTGACTTTTCTTTCTCCTTGGATTCCTCTCCCAACCGTTACTACTTCTACTACGTGTAATTTACTAAATGCAAGTAGATGAATGTTTCTATGCTTCTTATTATCCTCCCACATACTTAGCTACCCTAAATTACCTCTGTAATTCCTGTCTATTCTCCTGTTAATAACTTCATTAGAGTTCTCCAAAGTAGCTAAGAYGTATAAACCCCCATACCCTCACATCTTTCCTGCTAAAGTCCTACACCCGACCCTCAGTTCTCTGTACGCCACCAGAATCTATAAGCCTTTTATGAAGCTAATGAATTTATTTTAAATTACAATTGAATCCAACATCTCTAGACATTATCTCCCATCACAAAGGAGAGCTCTCAGAACTATACAAGAGCAATACAAATCTATAGGAGAAAAATAAGAACACAACAGTCACACAGAGCTGGAAAGAAATGTGAGCAACATGAAAAAAAACAAGGGAAAAAAGGACCACAAACAATGCAGGACAACTCAATAATAGAGGAGTTAAAACTACAACAGAAAGAATGTCAGATAAAGATTTCAAGATATACATGCCTCAAATGATCTGGAGTCTCAAGGAAGACCTTAGACAGTAAATGCAGACAATGAAAGATCACTTTGACAATGAATTAGATAAACAAATCCAAGAAGCAAAAGATCAACTCTACAGGGAGATAGAGGTTATACAAAAAAATCAAACACAAATCCTGGAAATGAAGGAAATTGTAAACCAAATTAAAAACTTAAATGAGAGTATCACCAGCAGAGTAGAACAATTAGAAGTCAGAACATCAGACAACAAAGACAAAGTATATCATCTCAAAAAGAGTCTAGACTGCTCAGAAAGGCTGATAAGAAACCACGAGCAGAACATCCAAGAAATTTGGGATAACATAAAGAGACCAAATTTAAGAGTTATTGGATTAGAGGAAGATATAGAGGTCCAAACCAAAGGAATAAGCAATCTGTTCAATGAAATAATTTTAGAAAACTTTCCAGACATGAAGAATGAAACGGAAATCCAAATCCTAGAAGCCTACAGGACACCGAATGTATAAAACCACAAGAGATCCACACCAAGACACATTATAATGAAAATACCCAACATACAGAACAAGGAGAGAATTTTAAAAGCCACAAGAGAAAGGAAGCAGATGACATTTAGAGAGGTAAACCAATTAGGTTAACAGCTGATTTTTCAACACAGATTCTGAAAGCTAGAAGATACTGGAACAATGTATTTCAAACGCTGAAAGATAATGGGTTCCAACCAAGAATCTTGTATCCAGCAAAATTAAGCTTCAGGTTTGATAATGAAATAAACACCTTCCAAGATAAACAAAAATTAAAAGAATTTTCAGCAAGAAAACTGGAGCTTCAAATCATCGTTGGCAAAACATTACATGAAGAGGAAATGAAAAATAACAACGAAAATCGACAGTGGGAGGTAGTACAGTAAAACTAATCAAAGAGGAAAAACAAATCAAGTTAAATAACAAAACAAACATGGCTGGAAGTACAAACCATATCTCAACAGTAATCCTAAATGTTAATGGCTTAAACTCACCAATCAAAAGACAGGCTAGTAGACTGGATTAAAAAAAAAGATCCAACAATATGCTGCCTACAGGAGACTCATCTGATAGGAAAAGACATAAACAGACTGAAGATGAAAGGTTAGGAAAATCCCACTACTCACATGGACCTTGGAAGCAAGCAGGGATGTCTATACTCATATCAAATAAAACAAACTTCAGGCCAAAGTTAATCAAAAGGTATAAAGAAGGACACTACATACTGCTAAGGGGAACCATTCACCAACAAGACATAACAATCATTAATATATATGCCCCAAACAATGGTGCAGCTATATTCATCAAACAAACTCTTCTCAAGTTCAAGAGACAAACAGATCACAACACAATAATCAAGGGTGATTTTAACATACCTTTCTCACCACTGGACAGATCTTCCAAACAAAASTTGAATAAAGAAACTATACAACTCAATAACACAATTAATAACTTAGACTTAATTGACATATATAGAATATATCAACCAACATCAAATGGATACACTTTGTTCTCAGCAGCACATGGATCCTTTTCAAAAATAGACGATATATTATGCCATAGGGTAACTCTTAGCAAATACAAAGGAGTAGAGATATTACCATGCATTTTTTCTGATCATAATGGAATGAAATTGGAAATCAATGATAAAATAAGGAAGAAAAATTCCTACATCACATGAAAAATGAACAATATACTACTAAATGAACAATGGGTTACAGGAGACATCAAGGAGGAAGTTAAAAAATTCTTAGAGATAAATGAAAACAAAGACACAACATATCGAAATCTCTGGGACACTATGAAAGCAGTACTAAGAGGAAAATTCATTCCATGGAGTTCATTCCTTAAAAGAAGAAAAAGCCAACAAATAAATGATCTCACACTAATCTCAAAGCCCTAGAAAAAGAAGAACAAATCAGCAGCAAATGCAATAGAAGGCAAGAAATAATTAAAATCAGAGCTGAAATCAATGAAATTGAAATAAAAGAAACTGAAAAAACTGACAAAACTAAAAGTTGGTTCTTTGAAAAAATAAATAAGACTGACAGACCCTTAGCCATGCTAATGAAGAGAAGAAGAGAGAGAAACCAAATTACTAGCATATGGGATGAAAAAGGCAATATCACAACAGACACTACAGAAATACAGAAGTTAATTAGAAATAATTTTGAAACCTTATACTCCAATAAAATAGAAGATAGTAAAGGCTTTGATAATTTCCTTAAGTCATATGATCTGCCCAGATTGAATCAGGAAGATACACACAAGTTAAACAGACCAATATTAAGTGAGGAAATAGAAGAAGCCATCAAAAGACTACCAACCAAGAAAAGCCCAGGACCGGACAGAAACAGCAGAGTTTTACAAGACCTTTAAAGAAGAACTAATACCAATACTCTTCAATCTATTTCAGGAAATAGAAAAAGAGGGAGTACTTCCAAATTCATTCTACGAGGCCAATATAATCCTCATTCAAAAACCAGAAAAAGACAAAGAAAGAAAACTTCAGACCAATATCTAATGAATTTAGATGCAAAAATCCTCAATAATAACTGGCAAATTGGATACAAAAACATATCAAGAAGATCATGCACCATGATCAAGTGAGATTMATCCCTGGGATGCAAGTTGGTTCAACATAGGAAAATCAATAAATGTAATTCATCACATCAATATACTTAAAGATAAGAACCATATGACCATCTTGATCCAGAAAAAGCATTTGACAAAAGACAGCACGCCTTTATGTTCAAAACACTAGAAAAGCTAGGGATAACAGGAATACCTCAACATTGTAAAAGCTATCTACACTAATCCTCATCCAGAAAAATTGAAGGCATTCCCTCTAAAATCTGGAACAAGACAGGGATGCCCTCTCTCACCACTTCTATTCAACATAGTTCTTGAAGCACTGGCCATAGCAATTAGACAGATGAAAGAAATTAAAGGAATAACTATAGGAAAAGAAGAACTTAAACTAGCACTATTTGCTGATGATGTGATTCTATACCTAGAAGACCCAAAAGGCTCTACCAAGAAAATTCTAGAACTAGTAAATGAATTCAGCAAAGTGGCAGGACATAAAATCAACACCCATAAATCAAAGGCATTCATGTATATCAGTGACAAATCCTCTGAAATGGAAATGAGAAAAACTACCCATTCACAATATCCTCAAAAAAAATACTTGG